ACTATTCTAAACTTGATACCTTTGCTCCAATATGAAATGAAACTTCAGCTAGGGTTTCTTCAGATAATAAATACTCCTTAACTGCCTGAAAGTTTCATAAGTTTATAATAAATTTTTTTAGGGGAAGGGGGGGTTCTTTAACTCGGAATCCTACTGAGGATTTCAGAGATAAAACTTCTAGGTGAAATTTTTGGAAAAAATCAAAGGAATTGAGTCCTTGCCACAAACGGCTCAGTAACATTATGCCTAGTTCGTGAATGCCTAGTTCACTATGCCTAGTTCGTGAATGACTAGACAACATTATGACTAGATTTCTGAATGCCTAGATAACATTATGCCTAGATTTTTGAATGCCTAGTTCATAATGCCTAGATAACATAATGCCTAGAGAACTAAGCATGATAGTTGCGAGATTGCTTAAAGGGAGTGTTCGCGAAAGCCTTTGCCCCCTTTCATTTTTCGCAAACACTCCCTTTAAAGATCATCTTTAATGATTAGAAATATTTGCAGTAAGGTTAATTTCTTAAAATAATAATTACAAAATGTGGTCTGCCCTTTTCAAGGTTTGAGAAGTACCGGAGATATGAAGATTTTGAACATTTTGTTTTAAATACATAGAAATCCACCAAAATTATCAAAATCTCCGGTAATGAAGAGAGCCCCTGGTTTACCTGAATACCCTCCTCTGGAAGAGCGGGGAACGCCCCCCTTAACCAGCTTGAGACCACGCTCTCAAGAATATCCTCACCCTTGTTCGCCAGATTTTTATTAGATTTCATCTGCAGACTAAACAATATTCTTTATTAAATTTCATCTGCAGACTAAACAATATTCTTTATTAGATTTCATCTGCAGACTAAACAATATTCTTTATTAGATTTCATCTGCAGACTAAACAATATTCTGTATTAGATTTCATCTGCAGACTAAACAATATTCTTTATTAGATATCATCTGCAGACTAAACAATATTCTTTATTAGATTTCATCTGCAGACTAAACAATCTTCTTTATTAGATTTCATCTGCATCATATTAATTACTTTTTTCAGATAGGTCCTGACTAATGTTGTGTATTTATGTTTCTAAAAATTTGAAAAAAAATGTCAAAATAAATAATAAATAAATACATAATAACCTTATATCTTGAATATTTAGTTGGGCGTATTTTTCCTTTTCTGCTTCTATATATCCTTCAGTAGTGAACACATCTTCTAACAACTAGATAGATAGATAGATAGATAGATTGATAGATAGATCCTTCAGTAGTGAACACCTCTTCTAACAACTGGATAGATAGATAGATAGATAGATCTTTCAGCAGTGAAAACCTCTTCTAGCAACTAGATAGATACATAGAAAGATAGATAGATAGATTTTTCAGTAGTGAAACCCTCTTCTATCAACTAGATAGATAGATAGATAGATAGATAGATCTTTCAGTAGTGAAAATCTCTTCTAGCAACTAGATAGATACATAGATAGAAAGATAGATAGATAGATAGATAGATACATAGATAGATAGATCTTTCAGCAGTGAAAACCTCTTCTAGCAACTAGATAGATACATAGATAGATAGATAGATTTTTCAGTAGTGAAAACCTATTCTATNATATAGATAAATAGAAAGATACATAGATACATACATAGAAAGATGGATAGATACATAGTTAGATAGATATGTAGATAGAGATAATTTGATTGATATTTTACCTTGGAAGGTATTTGTTCCCCCAACCTTGCCGAGAAAGCAAATAGTTCAGCTGAATAATTCCATTCAACATGATTTGATCTCCTAATTATAAAATAGTTCAGCTGGATAATTCCATACAACATAAGCTGATCTCCTAATTATAAAATAGTTCAGCTGGATAATTCCATTTAACATGAGCTGATTTCCTAATTATAAAGTAATTCAGCTGGATAATTCCATTCAACATGATTTGATCTCCTAATCATAAAATAGTTCAGCTGGATAATTCCATTCAACATGAGCTGATCTCCTAATTATAAAATAGTTTTGCTGGATAATTCCATTCAACATGAGCTGATCTCCTAATTATAAAATAATTCAGCTGGATAATTCCATTCAACATGAGCTGATCTACTAATTATAAAAACTTAAAAACGACCTTTAAATGTGATTAAAAATTTTAAAAACTTGGCTCACTTATCTTCTATTTCAACTTTTAATTGTGGCTTTATCTGTGAGCATCTTCTCTTTGTACAGTATATAGAAAAGTTTGTGGATTTCATAATATTTTACAAAAAAAACTTTCAAAAGAAAATTTTGAAATTTTGATCATCTATGAACTTTCCCTAGGGTCACATGAGATCCCTCACGTGACCATCTTCGCACCCATCTTCTATCTAAATTGTAAACACATGTTCTTTTTGTGTACACTTGAAAAACAACAACAAAAAAAGTTCCCGGATTTCATGAAAATTTTCTTGAAAACATTATTGGAAATCGAATTTGTTCGCGGATTTCATAAAAAATTCGCGGATTTTTAAAAATTAATTTTTTTTACATAAATAAAAAACTTTTTAACGCAAGTTTTTTTTTAATTTTGATCATTTATAGACCTTCCCTTGGGTCACGGGAGATCCCTCAAAAAATGTGGGCCCGATCGGTTCAGGCGTTTTGACGTTTATTGGATAAAAACAAACAGACAGACAAGCCAAATTTATATACATAGATAAATAGATATAGATAAATGAAAATGAGTGAAAATCCATATAAAAATTTAGCTTGTCTGTCTGTCAGTATGTTTGTTTGTATGTTTCCAATAATGTCAAAGAAAAAATGTTCACAATTAAAAAGGAGATGGGCGCAGGGCATGAAGCGCCCTAAAAGCCTAGTGAGGGAAAATGTAAGTACAAAATGAAAGAAATGAACAAATTAAATAATGAAATAAATGCTGATGAAGGAATTAAAAAGGAAATGAATAAAAGAAGAAATGGAAGCTTGATGGAAGAATTGGAATGAGGAAAGAAGAAGAAATGACGGAATGAATATGAAAAATAAATTATAAATTATAAATTATAAATTATAGATTAATCTGCAGATATCAATGTTTAAATGGCAATAAAAACAAACTGTAGTGTCGACTAATGAGATATCAATGAAACTTTTCTAATCATTAAATTGTAAATCAAGATTCTGCCTGATAGCGAAAACAAAATAAGAATTTTTTTAAAATTTGTTTTTGCTGTAAAAAATTAGCAAAACTTTTAAGAAATATTCGTGATCTGGATCCATATTTATACAAGACGAATCCTGGATCCGGGTCCATATTTTCACAGGACGAATCCTGGATCCGGGTCCATATTTTAACAGGACGAATCCTGGATCCGGGTCCATATTTTAACTGGACGAATCCTGTATCCAGATCNCATTAAACTAGAAATATAAATATTAAAGGAGTATTTTTTTCATTAAACTAGAAATATAAATATTAAAGGAATATTTCTTCCATTAAACTAGAAATATAAATATTAAAGGAGTATTTGTTTCATTAAATTAGAAATATAAATATTACAGGAGTATTTCTTCCATTAAACTAAAAATATAAATATTACAGAAGTATTTCTTCCATTAAACTAATAATATAAATATTACAGGAGTATTTCTTTCATTAAACTAGAAATATACATATTAAAGGAGTATTTCTTTCATTAAACTAGAAATATAAATATTAAAGGAGTATTTCTATCATTAAACTAGAAATATAAATATTAAAGGAGTATTTCTTTCCTTAAACTAGAAATATAAATATTAAAAGAATATTTCTTTCATTAAACTAGAAATATAAATATTTAAGGAGTATTTCTTCCATTAAACTAGAAATATAAATATTAAAGGAGTATTTCTTTCATTAAACTAGAAATATAAATATTAAAGGAGTATTTCTTTCATTAAACTAGAAATATAAATATTAAAGGAGTATTTCTTTCATTAAACTAAAAATATAAATATTAAAGGAGTATTTCTTTTATTAAACTAAAAATATAAATATTAAAGGAGTATTTCTTTCATTTACCTAGAAATATAAATATTAAAGGAATAATTTATTTAGGACAATTAATGGTGATTACAGAACCTAATAACATATTTTCATTATTTTTATTTACGAGTGAAATTTCTCAGAGTCCTCACCCTAAGTATTGGCCTGACAACTCTAGAATGATGAGAGTGACATCTGACGGATATTTGTGGCATTAAACTCTCCAACTCAGCTGTCTGACCGAACGCTGGTAAAGGATTGGTCAGCCATCTTGGATTTCTAAGAATCTGTCTCAACATCATTTTCTGGAAAACTGCAGAAATTCATATTTTTATAATTTTACATTTTCAAAGCGCATTGTTTAATATTCAGGTACTTTATCTTACTATTCAATATTTAATTTATACTAAAAATACAACGTTTTTTCGATTTTACATAAAGCCAAATTTCATATTATTTTTTCTAATCATTTTTTAAAGATTAAAAGGGGTTGGGGGTGTCATCATTTCATTGTGTCATTTAAATATTTTTTCTACTGTAAAGTTTATAGATAATAGACAGTTAAGAAAACTTATGATAATCATATAATCAGCTGATATCTTATGTTCACTGATTATCAGCCGACATGGTGGTGTCAGCTGACATAAAACCAGCTGACGTCATATGATCAGCTGATCTCATGTTATTAGAAGACCGCCTTGCGATGTTTGCGGATTTTTAGCTGATTATCAGCTGATTTAGCTAGCTGATTATCAGCTGATTTAGCTAACTGATTATCAGCTGATTTAGCTAGCTGATTATCAGCTGATTTAGCTAGCTGATGTTTGCAACTTTTCTCTTCTTGAAACTGGAAACAGCACTGGCTGTTTTTATCTGATAAACATCACGGTTCATCCAGCCGACTATATCTAGAAAAAAATTGTTACACGTGTTATTTTTTGTCCTATTGAATGTTGTTTAAGGTCCTATTTTTGACCCATTTATGATGTTTTGGAGAAGAAATTTTAAATAACTTTATTTTTTTTCAATGATTAAAATAAAAAAATCCTTTTTAAATCCATGTAATAAAATATTTTCAAACATCAACTTTATGTTTTTCTTTAAGTTATGATATGTAAAAAGGATACATGTTAAAAAACATACCGTTTCTTTTTTTGTATCCCATTTTGAAGAGTTTCCTTTCTAATTCATCCATTTTATCGGTCTCCTAAAAATCGAATTTAAAAAACATTATATCATTATAACATTTTTTCATTTTTTTATTTTTTTTCTGATGCCAATAATTCTGGAAATTTTTCTCTCTAGACTAGAGTAAGCTCGCGTCTTGAGATAAGTTCGGACTAATCTTACAGAGAAGCCGAAAATGAATATAATCAGTTTAAAGGAATAAAAACATTGATATCTCTAATTGATACATATCAGACAAAACTTTCAAGGGTACTGTTGTAAATCTCACATTGCCATTTTTATGTGGAGGGTCACTTGAAATTACGCTTACAGTCCTTTTAATAATATTACCTTGAGTTTCTCCTCGTCTCTACAATTTTGCGCGGCATTGAGAATGTTGAGAAACCGGGTTCTGAAGGTGGAACTTAGGAAAAACAAATAAAATATATTTATGTATTCTGTAAAAACGAGGAAATTGAGCTCCCCCCCTATACAACCGCTAACTCCCTAGAGGGGGTAGGTCAGGTTCAAATAACATATTTCTCAAAATTTAGGGAATTTTTGAGGAATGTGAATGGTTTTCAGGGAAAATTGAATAGATTTAGGAAAAGCTAATGGTTTTTAGGAAAAGTCGATGGGTTTTAGGAAAAGTCGATGGGTTTTGGAAAAAAATCAATGATTTTTTCATGTGAAAAAAAGCAAGCCTCATCCTTAAAGTTGTTTCTCAAAAGCTTCTAAAATCCTTTAAGTTTAAAAAATACATGCAAACCCTCTGTCCTCGCAATTTTTCTATCTTAAAAAGTGTTCAATTCTAAAAAATTCCTTCAATGTCTCTGTCTGTATAAAAACACACGTAAAAATTTTCAAGAAAAAGAATTATTTATTCATCCTTAGGGAGACAAAGGTTTTAATAAAGGTACCATTGTTAATCGGGCCGCTCGCTTGAAATTCCGTCTGTGGCCTCTTTAAAAAACGTCTGTGGTTCCTTAAAAAACGTCTGTGGCCTCTTTAAAAAACGTCTGCGACCTCTTTAAAAACGTCTGAGGCCCATTTAAAAAACGTCTTTGACCCCTTTAAAAAAACGTCTGTTATCCCTTTAAAAATGTCTGTGGCCTCTTTAAAAAAAACGTCTGTGGTTCCTTAAAAAACGTCTGTGGCCTCTTTAAAAAACGTCTGTGGCCTCTATAAAAAACGTACCTGATTGTTTCTCCGATGAGGTCCCCCTCCTCTACAGAGTGTTTTATCAGATACAAACCAAACTCATAAAAATAAGGGCCTTGAAGAAAATAATAAATTATACAATGATGTGTATTGTATACTGTAGAGTATATTGTATAGTGTTTTTTTTATATTTTCTAATTTTGCTTTAAAATTCTTATGAAAATTACAAAAAATAAATGTTAAAAAAGTTATGTATAAGATTTTTAAGTTTATTACTCTGCCCCCCACCCTCCGAGATAACGGTTTTGTTAAAAATTAAATTTTTTTATTTAAGCACTAGAAAAGGGAAACTATCTTTATATATTAAGTTGTAATCTTTGTTTGTCTGTCTATTTGTTTGTTTGTCCGATCATAACTCAGGAACCCTTGGACCGATTTGCTCCAAATTTGATTGGGGAACTTGAGAGAATTACGGAAATTTTCTTAGCTTGGTTTTGAGATTCCAAGTTCAGTGGGTTCAAGGAATAGCTAAAATCGTAATCTACGACCAAGCGCGGGTAAACGGCGAGAGTAACAATGAGTAACCCGGGCAACGCTGGGTACTCAAGCTAGTACACTGTCTGAGGACCAAAGCTTTGAATGGAAGCTAGTTTTTCTCTTTAAAAGTTTTAACCCAACCTATAAACATTACTGCCCGGTTCTCCGGAGTTCAAGAGGTTGCTGAGTTATGATTGGACATACAAACAGACAGGCAAAGATTACTACATTATTTATATAGATATATGGACTTTAAGCGCGCTTAGTTGTTACTCTGAGAGTGGCTATTTTTATAACTCTCAATGTTAGGGGGTCTTTTCGTTTAAATTGGCCCATGTAAAAATTAACTGGGAAAAACGTTCAATTTTTTATTTTTACGAATCACGAACTCTGTGGCCTGGGGTCTTGTGAGTTGCCTAAAAAATGTTGGCCCGATTCGTTCAGCCGTTTGGACGTGTTTTGGATACAAACAAGCAAACAGCCAAGCAAAGAATATCTATCTATCTAGAGATAAAAATTACGATTACCTAGTTTGTGGAGATCTACAACGTTAGCATCAGCAAGCAGAATCTCACGGTAAATCTCTTTATAGCTACGAGGCAGGTACATGTTCAGGTACTTCAGCCTAAAAAGCAGAATCTCACGTTAAATCTTTTTATAACTACGCGCCAGGTACATGTTCAGGTACTTTAGTCTAAAAAGCAGAATCTCACGTTAAATCTTTTTATAACTACGCGGCAGGTACATGTTCAGGTACTTTAGCCTAAAACGGACTGTCATTGTAATTTCAAGTGACTCTCCGTACGTTTTTAAGCATGCACGTTTTTAAAACTTTGTTTGATCAAAAATGTTTTTTTTAGGCTTAAAAAGTGTTTAATTCTGATGATTTCTTTTATAGTTTCTTATGCGCAAGTCACAACAAAAAATTAAAAATGATAAAGCTTTTTATGGCACTGCTATAATACATTCTCTCTTTTAAAAATCATAATAAAATCAATAAATTCTGTCGCTGCTCTTAAAATGTATGTTACTTACTTTCCTGCCCGCATACCGTCCACTATCCAGTACGGAATCTCAAGCTGAAATATTTTAATCGTCAAAAAAAGTGTCTGTTAGTATTGAAAACGTAACAAAAATTTGAAATAAAATAGTTTAGGAACTAAGTACTAATGGAATCAATGTTAGGATTATTTCTTAATTTTCTATAATTTATTTCGCAGCTTTTTCCTAATTTCTTCAACTGTCTTTGTCTTATATTTAGATGGGTAGAAAGATAGATATATGGTTAGATAGATAGAGGAAACCTACTTTTGATCCCTGCGCCAAATGTTTATCATCTGAACCTGGATCCAGGAACCCCAGATCCTTCAGCTCGAGGGGGTTAGAACACGGTACACGCTCCTAATAATCAATCAATCAATCAACCAACCAACCAACCAATAAATCAATGTTAACAAACGAAACACGCGCCTAATAAAACAGGGTAAGAGCAATCAATCAAGGTTAGAGAACGGCAACCATTCCTAATCAATTAATCAATCAATCAATCTAGAAAATGGCACACGCTCCTATTATATAAATTCATCATCCAAGGTTAGAACACATCCACACGTTCCTAATCAATCAATAATAAATCAATCAACCAACAAAGGCTAGACCATGGGACACGCTCTTAACCAATGATTCAATCAATTAATCAATATAAATAGTACCAACCAACCAACCAACCAACCAACCAACCAACCAACCAACCAACCAACCAATCAATGTTAACAACTAAACACGCGTCTAAACAGGGTAAGAGCAATCAATCAAGGTTAGAGAACGGCAACCATTCCTTATCAATCAATCATAACAAACGAAACAAGCTCCTATTAGAAAAGGATAAAAGCGATTAATCAATCAATCAATCGAGAAAATGGTACACGCTCCTAATAGATAAATTCATCATTCAAGGTTAGAACACATCCCCGCGTTCCTAATCAATCAATAATAAATCAATCAATGTACACGCTACTAATCTATCAACCAATAAAGGTTAGAACATGGAACACGATCTTAACCAATGATTCAATCAATTAATCAATATAAATAGTGTATTTTTATTTAGAATTCAGCTGATCACTCAACAGGGACAAGATTTAATGAATAGAGAGACATAGCTGAACGCGCAGGCTTAATTGAACCACTTCTCTAGTGCGTCCGGTTCAAGCTGAAGAAAGTGGTTTAACTTGATTTACGCGGTTCAGCCACACCCCGCTTTTCATAAAATCGTGTCCCAGGACATCTATATCACCTGAGTTGCCAAAATATCGTCAATTGAGAAATAATTTGGCATATATGAAGGATTCTGCTTTCCCGCCATTTTTCTGAAAAGCCAGTGTCTTTCAGATCGGACTATACAGAGACTTACTGGGAAGGAGGCGGATAGCGCCGGATATAATTACATGCAAGGGACAGCGTCAAGCAAGCTCAAAACTGACCGTAAGCCTAGGTCTAAGGGTTTTGAGAATCCTGGTGGTAAGAAACCTGGGCTAGAGCGAACAGTTTCATCTGTTCTCAAACATACCAATAAATAGATATATATTTTACATTTAACATACTTCTTATATCTGTAAAAATAAGAACCAAATTTAGATTTATTTAGAGACAACATCCAAGATAGTATTATAAATAACATGATCTGAAAAGATATAATTTACTAGAACTTGGAAGCTAGTTTTTTTTCGGTTAATATAACTTTCTTGACAAATAAATGTTTTTGTACTACTAAAACCCAGTTTTACTGGATATCATGTTATTTTATCTATGCTTATATATTTCCTATCGTAAAATATAGTAAATATGTATTTTTGCCTGTTTCATTAAAAATAGTTTGTTTTTTAACTTTGACATTCAAATTAAATTTTTATTTAAAAAAAATTAATTATTAAAAAAAAGAAAAAGAAAATGTTCTGTGCAAGATATCAACTAAAGAACTGCANGGACATGCCACTCTACACATAGAGGATCACTTGAATTTACACCGACAGTCTCTTATTATCTATTCCACCACTTTGTCTCTGGCTATAACAATCTCTTTAAACATGTATTCCATCACTTTGTCTCTGACTATAACCATCCCTTTAATCATCTATTCCACCACTTTGTCTCTGGTTATAACAATCTCTTTAATCAACTATTCCATCACTTTGTCTCTGG